AGTCTTTCAGGTGACCTATAAATATAGATAGCAAAACTGCAACTGTATTTCACAAGCAACTTATGAGCAGGTGAAGTTAGTCATGGTGCAGTAGGGTGGAGGCTTGGTGGTGAGCTGTGAAGCATAAGCGAGGAATCGCATGAGTCGCTTCAAGTCGTCGAACGTCGAACCTTACCACTGAACCACCACGACTCGATTCGACGTATGCGATTCCTCGCTTATGCTTCACAGCTCACCACCAAGCCTCCACCCTACTGCACCATTACAAACTTTACCTGCTCATAAGTTGCTTGTGAAATGCAGGTTGCAGTTTTGCTATCTATATTTGTAAATAACCTTATAGACTCTATCGATCTACCCAGGTCTCCATTCAAAGTTCCATGGTAAGTTGGCGGACTTCTGTGGTGAGAGCATAAAACACATGCACATCGGCTGCCAATTTCGGTTAATCACTTTGATAACGAGAGTTATAAAAAATTGAATAAAAAACTGAGATCCTGTGAAAGTGATGAGAATAACATGGGTGAAGAAATGATGGCAGAACCTACATCATGATTGATAAGGTGATAGTTGACCCGTGGGTAGTACTCGTCAATAATCTCCAGAAGTGATTTCGCATTCTCTTTGCTAATAAAACATTCAAGATACGCCTAGAATCATATATACAACAAAATAAGCTTTATATCTTGGGCTGATCAAAATGAATTAACTGACCTTTTGGTAACAATAACTACCCGGCTTTCCCATCCAACAAGTGGATCTGTAGATGGCGCTCCGTTGACTGACGGCTGACTGTTCACCGTAAGGATACCCTTGAAAGCGAATCAGGTTAACAATGGCAATTGGTATGACTAAATCTCGAATCTCTGCAAAAACAAACGTTCTCATTGCACCACAGCAGCTGTTCATTGATCAGCTCCGTCTCTGCTTGTACACCACTCTCTTGCTCGTTCCATGGCAAAGTCGTCACCTGAAATCACTTAGCAATTTTAGCACTTCTGAAAAGGTTAAGCCAGCCATTCAAAAAAGACTGATATGACCCTAATAGGGCATAGTTATTTATGACGGTACATACCTTGACCCCTTGATCGTTTACTGCTTGCGAAATGAAATTTGCGAACACTTTCTTCACGTCGTCGAAGGAGGCTATCTCTTCACCGTACATTTTCAAGAGATCTTCTTTCTTGGTTTGGGCCTAAATGGAGAATGCATAACGATTTCCTGTTATGTTGATTATTCGCAGTACCATACACAACTTACCTTCAAGTGGAAAAGATAGTAATCCTGTAAATCGCCGAAGGCTGGAGAAGAACTGTTACCCCATCGTCCATTGGGGAAATCGTCCCAGTCCTGAAAAGCAAAACTAGTTAGAGTAAAACATAAGGCAGACAAATTCTATGTCACCCTGGTTCGATAAATATAACTCTTTGGTCGGGCACTCCAGAAAATTGGCCGCACATCTTCCTTGCATCTAAAGAAGAAGTGTAATCATAATCATATATTGAAGCAGACTGCTTACGTACCTTAAAGGATGAACACAACCATGGGGTTCCCAAGGTAAGGTCCGCATCGGTCGCTTGTGCCAAAGTCCTAATTCTTGGAGAATTTCACTGAAAGAACGCTTCATTTGAAAATTTGTCGTCAAGTATTCTCAAGACAAGGGGGTAATAGGAGGCCTACCGACAAGCTCCTTCTCTGTTCATTGTATACAAATGAATTGAAGGTGCCGTACCGTTCGACAGGAGTCTACGACACATATCAATGGCCTGAATATTACAGCAGATAAATAAACGAAGCTCATGAAGACACAGTCTTGTTCACTGCGGATAACAGAGCTTGTCAGGCGGGATTGGTATGGCGCAGCGCCAAACCCGTTCTCGACTCACTGTTGAAGCGGGCAATTTACAAAGACTGTATCACATCGTTCACATCAGTCGTTCTCCACCAATGTTGTCGCTTACCCGCTTCAACAACTGGTGGAGAAGCGAGCTGGCAACGCGCCAAACCCAGCCTCATGACACGCCCCATCATCCACAGCGAATAAGACGAACGGGAGATTATTCAAGACTTTGGCTATCTGATAACCTCCACAGATTACTTTACAAAACTTTCGACGACAGTTAATTAAACATAAGCGAGGGAGGGGAAGGGGGGAGTGATGGCAAGCGACGTGGAATACGAGTGATCAATAAGAGAAGAAGTGAAGGAAACGATCTATTGATTGTGAGGGCTGCTGAGCTACTTAAACGCAATCCGTACACACAACTTTGAGAACTTTCTTGCCATGGTGAGGTAAATGGGCCCGCACCTGCAGTGCTGCCCCTTTCCCCATTCAAGCATGGCTGTAGGGTAATGGTACCCGACACGCCCCCTCCCCACCATTCCTCATCCTGTTCTCAAATTTCCCAGCTTCCTATCACTTTTTTTCCCAAAAAAATGATAGGGGAGGGGCGGGCATCAGCAACCAACCACTGGTTGAAGAAATAGAGTTCTATAGAGCTTTAGCGGCGCCAGCAACTAGGGTGGGGGGAGGGGGATACGACAACTTCCTTCGGTTTTGCCCTCTGCTACGTCCCCACCCTCTCTTGGAATTCTCCAAGCGATGAGAATAGGGCCCGTGGAGCAGGAAAAATCACTGTTAAAAATTTTCTAGGACCAAATACGCCCC